TATATTTAAGAACTATAGCTCCAACCATATGTATAAAATCAACTTTATTATTCTTTTACATAAAACTAGCAGTAAAAGATAAGTTTATATTTATTTTTTAGTCAAACAAATATATGGTTTGTCTTAATTTTACTAAGTCCACAGGTGTATGTTTACCGTCCGTAAGACCTCGTTGCACAAATTATGATAGGATGAAAACGCAATTAAAATTACCAAAGCTTATTGGTTACATAATGTCATCGCCTATGTTTATTATGCATCGAACGTGCTTCAAACACGTGCGTTCGAAATGAAGACAAACGGCAAAAAAACGAATTTAGTTGGAACAACAGCGAATTCACGTACATCCGACTGTTGAACTAAATAAAAATAAAGTACATACATTGTGTCGGTATCTAAGCAGGTGTAATGTATCGAACAGCTTTCGGCTGACGTGGTGCGGTACAGGTATTAGGCACGGATGTACGCAGTAACTTTTTTTTTAATGTATTTTTCCCAGTCGCGTATTTCTCGTTATCTCTATTAATTTACTTGTACGTGTACGTTTTTGAAATAATGTCCAACAGAAATTGTTACCGTGCGGCAGTCAACCTACATATTCTAGATTATTTTATTTAATTCGACAGTGATACTCTTATATGTAGCCGAATTGTTATAATTATTTCTATACAGTATGCCGTTTTAACACGATATATAGTACGTACTGTTTACCGCAAACTCGAAATCGTTATTGATCGAAAATCCCTTTTAACATTTTTTCGATGCTGCTCAAAGTGTACCCGACTGCATCTGAGACCCGACACACGGACCTACGGCTCGCCGGTCATGGCTTGTTTTTCGCTTAGAAAATATTATAGCGAGCTAACGTACACGTGCACGTATGTGTGTGTGTGTGTGTGTGTTTGTGTGTGCGTCGGGGAAAACGCCGACCTACAGTATTGTATGTATTTACCGACAACGCGATGCATTGCGGCTGTCTCGGAAAATTAAAAAGAAAACGAAAACTCGATGAAGAAGAATAGGCTACGTTACACGATGGACTGCGCCCGCGATACAGTTGATACAGTTATTACGATGACGACCACCCGTTGACCAGTCCGATATAGATTTCTCTACGGAATTCACATGGCCCACACAATATGACCCGTCATGTTCTCGTGGTGGTTTTTCGCGCGTTCGAAATGCGTACACAGCCCGGGAGAACATCCGATGACCGTGTGGTTTTATTCTCTCAGTACATACACACACACGTGCACAATTATTACTATAAATGTATACGATACGGAGGAGACCCGTCACGTACGCGGTATACTTTCGCTTTGTAACCTTATAGATCATGTGTTGCTGCACAGCTGTCGATCATCATCACACGGGTTAGTGATAGGTTGTTGCTACCAAAATCGGTCGACCTCTTGCACGATTCGGTTGGGTGTGCGCATGTGTGTAGTTAGAGAGCCTGCACACCGGAGAATGGTCGCTTGAAACCTTATCGAAGTATTCGGAGACGGTGCGCCGCCGTATTGTTCGTTTTTCATTATTATCAACAGCAACGCAGAACATTACATATGCGTTTCGTGTGGTATGTTTCAACGGTAATTAATCGCATCATATTGGACTAGGAAACCGAAAAATATTTGTATTACTCGAAATTAAAATATGTTATTGAATCGATCGGGTCAAATAGAAATTACGTACGTTAATAACGGAAAACGATCAGAAACGGCGTCACCGGTGACGATTCTCTGATATAGTATAAGATGTCTAGGCGTAGGTACACGTACACACTGCATTGAGAAAAGCGCGTGAGGGCGAAAAAATGATAAATATTTAATATCAATTCAGAGAAAAGAATAAAAAATACCGTAATATAAGATTTTGATTACATTTTCTCTTGCTCTTCTTGCGATGTAAACAAAACACGTTATAACATGTTGAAATAATTTTTGATGAGTAGAAAACTGGGCGTATCCCCCCCCCCCCCCCCCGAATCATTGATAGCTTCATATTTACAAGATATAGTTAAATTTATACAGTTATTCGTAAATCTTATGGATTTAATTAGTTAGTTATTGGCGTACTCGGATGAAGTAGTCTTATAAATAACAATATTGAATACATTATTATTAAACCCAGTATTGTCGACAGTACTGTACTGTAGACCCAGTATGTCGACCTAACACTACATTTTGTGGTGACAATTGCTCAGTCGATGATCGATAATTGTAGTATTATGTTGCGTTTTGTTGTCCACAACTACTGCCGGTCAATCAAACGCAACATACTGTTTTATGCATCTGCTGGAAGCGATTTGTGAACTCGTGTTCGGTATTGGGTAATATTACCGTGGTGACAAATCGCGTATGAAAGAACATAGCGCTTTCTAATATAAATACATATACGTGCACGTGTGTGCGTAAAATAAGATTGTGATCTTTATATGCTTGCATAGTAGTTTTGTACACGAGATATGGATCTGATCGGGACAACGTTTACATTGTGTTTGTAAGTAACTTTTATTTGGAATACATTTTGCACGTCGTTAAAACAACTTTAAATACAGAATCAACAAAGAAATGTTGTTTAAAATCGGAACATTTGAAACGGTACATCATGTAAAATGTACTGCATTATTCCTACTCCGATATAACGAGTAGACTTCTAAAAACATTGACATTTTTCTCAACAAGTTCAATCTAATGCAAATTATTTTTTTTTTTATTTGAACTATATTTAAAAATGCTGGAAAAATTTTATGTACAATCTACATATCATTATTTTACGTATTTCTCTCCGGTTTGACATGATTTCATGAGTTATGCGTGCGCCCTGAATTTTACGATTTCATGAGTTATTTGTGTACGTCGAATTCGCGTACGTTTACTGTTAATCATTTTCTAATCGAAATAGTTTTAAAATTGTTTCGAATGAAACAACTTTATTTTTTATTTTCGAATACAATGGCCACTATAATATTATATTATAGCGCTTTCGATTTTTATATTTCATTTCAACACACTAAGGGCATACATTTTCTCATCGCGCACCCATGACACAGAAATTGAAGAGGTCAAAAGCTAATTCTAGTCCCAATAAGAGTAACAAAGGAAGTTTATGTGTGTGTGTGTGTGTGTGTGTGTGTGCGTGCGTGTATGTATGTGCGTGAGTAACGTATTTAGATTCCCGCGTCATGCACGAAACCGCAACATGTGATACGAGAAAATATATTTTTTTTCAATCTAACATAACTCGGAGGCTTTCCCCTTTTACATAGAAGAAAAAATCTCATATGAAGATTGACCAGGTTTAATTTCATATGGTCAGTGGTGGGTGTACGTGTATGACTCAAAACTAGTTATTCCTACGTAGGCATTTATGTACATACATGCAATTAGTTTAGATCATACGTCATGCAGATAGTGGTCATCCGCTGTTGCAGAACAATTGTTAAAAAAAATTTACACGTTTAGTATTTAAACAACTTGAACATTTCGAAGAAAAAGAAACGATTACCTTTGTATTTGTCGAACAAATTAGAAATACGTAACGGTTGTAAAGTATCACTTTGAATGCCGATATATATCGCAGACGCGTGTGAATAGTATTTATAATGAATCTCTGGTAAAAGTATTGAAAAACGTTTGCGTTTGACTTATTACATTATTTTAGCCACGAGTTGTATGTTATTGGAAACTTCACACGGAGTATAAAAATTATCATTGTTTTTACGTTTTCCTGAACCACGTGAATGCTACTATTGTTGTAATTCTTATACTCAGGGCTCGGAACTGTACGCGTTTGCATGTTTTTGAAGATTTATATAAAAAATTGTAAATCATCGCAGAGATGTATACGAAAATTCGATTTTTGTTATATCGTATTGTTTATTTCACATTTTCCGGACTTACCGAGTACGTTTTCGTACTTAAGCACGTACACGCTCTCGGATTTCATTGCGTTGCTTGTCGCGACGGTGTGAAGTTCCGAGCTTCGAATTTACTATCGGTAAAACACGCCCGAACACAACGCGCGCATATCACACAGGTCGTTAAATCGATTGTGCTCACCCGTATTGGATACGACATTGAAAAAAATAAAAAAAAGTTGCGCCAGGTAATTGTGATGGTTTGACGTACGTATAAACGTTATCGCGAACCGCTGAACGTGTCCGGCCGAAGAGTTGTTGCTGTGACGCGCAGTGCCGTGGTATACGTCAATGCGGGTGCACGCGGCCCGTGTCGGATCGGCCGTGCAACAGGTTTGACGGGTGATGATCGTAATTGGTATTGATAGATATCGTAGATCATAGTATCTAAATCAACAGATTAATCGGTTACCGGTTAGCGAAAATCGAAAACGAGACTTTTGCTACCCCGTCCCCGGTGCGCGTTGCGTTTTTCATATTATTATTATTATTATTATGGGTGAAAACATTAGGTGACCGCGATAATGATATCCGACTAGAACAACAATTTTTTTTTTTTGTTTTTCCCCGGCTATCGTCTAATCGATCAGTATAATACACACATTCGAGACATTTTCCCCGTTTGCTAACTCTGAGCGCGTAAAGCAGGGTTAATTGCCAACGATTACAATGAAAAAAAAAAAAAAAAAATGAAAATGAAAAAAATTGTTGTAATAATACCTATACGACTGGTTGTGATCAAGTCGATTTGATGTGTATGTACAAAATACATAACAATACATGTGAATAAACAAAAAAAAAAAAATAGATAAAATAAGAAGAAAAAAAGAAAAAAAAGAAGAAACAATTAATTCGATATACTCTTTGTTCCCGCCCAACAAAATAAAAGAGAAAAAAATCTATGGTTTTCAAAATAATATTTTTTCCCGTTAAAATAAATACACGAGGCAAAATATTAACAATTCTTTGATACAGATGTGAAAACAAACAGTACCCTGTGACCATGTATATCATATTACTTTGTTTTGTACGTGTTTCGAGTGATTTTTTCAACTAATGTCTTTTTTTTCGTATATAGGTCTGTGCCAGCATGAGAATAGTGACCTCATGGATTTTCATGTCTCTACTGACCGCCATATTCGAATCGTCTCAAGGCCATGATCACCACAAAGCTCTTAACAGTGAGTACACAAGTCATGTTATTTTATTAATTCGTTATTGATGATTTAAGTTTTGATTAAGCGATAAACACTACGTAAACAGTGTGTTCCACTGATTTTAATCTATTGGTTCGAATCAGAACATATGTTTACATAGTTTCATATCATAATTGTACGCGCGTTGACACTATAATATTATAATAAAATAGTAATTTTATTTTTTTAATTTCACATTATTTTTAATTAAAAAAAATAATACATTTCACGACAAAAATAAAAAAAATTTACTATTTTATAAATGTTATTATAAGAATAAGTTAGTAAAATCTTTTGTGAATAAAAACGTTCATCCTATTTTTTTCGTTTTGCATTACAATAAAACCATAACGTAATTTTTACGTCATCATATTATTATCTTCTAGAAATTCATTTATCCTAGTGCAATATATTCATATAATGCTATAAAAGTCTCCAGGCGGTAGTTCCTCAAACTGCACGACGAAGAAAAGAACAAAGGAAAATACAATACAATGCAAGTCATACCAGGACTTGTTTTACATTTATTTAAACGCCACAGTGCTGAAACATTATAAGATGCTGGGTTGGAAAGAACATTTAATTATTTCTAAATCATTTTAAATCAAAATACGTATGTGACATTATAATTACTGTTGTGCACTGGAGTTTGAACAACTATAAATAGGCGATGTAATTCATGAAAGTTTACATTTCAAAAACTCGTTTAATACGGTTAGATAAATCAAATATATAGTTATCTATTGTATTTCATTTTTAAGTACTATTATATTACGTACAAAAATCGGTTGTATCGTTTTAGCGATTTCGTTTTCATATCGATTTCCTATTCATTACCCGAAGGGTCGTACGGTTATCTCACAGCGGTGCATCGAATTTCTACGCTTTTAGGTTTCGCAACACTCTTCAAAATGTTTCACGAGGTATTCAATTTAAAATCGTTAATTGGTTTAATTTTCCGTGACATATGTAATAAACGTGTAAATATGACGCAAAAGTTAGTACTAATGAAATAATATTTGTGAATAAAAATCTAAAAAATTATGACGTCGCGTCCATCGACTTAAATATCAATTGAAATTAAAACGCGATTTTAAAAATCGCAGTAGAGTCCGTGTAGACGAACCGACCGTTTGAGAGGGCCGATGACGGTTCAAAAACGGTTCTCGAGACGATGTCAAACTGCGGTCGAAGTAGGAACTCAGCCCGGAGCAACGTCCAAATTTTAGCACTCATTTCTCTTCTTCTTCGTCCTTTACTCCGCCGGTCACATGCACTCGTGGCCCGTCTCTCCGCGCGTGTCTCTCCGCCACCCTTCGCTGGTCGTCACACGGTTGACCAGCAGTCCCCTAGTAGGGTAGTAGTAGGCCCCGTGTCACTGACCACTCCGAGCAACCTGTGCCCCGTATTCCACGGCCCAGCAATAATACCCTTCGCGGTGTGCATGCGCAGATTACAAGATCAACAAGAAACCGTGCTTGGTGAACGGTCTGGAGGGCACGTGCATGTTTGTGTACGAGTGCATCAACAGCAACGGCCGGCACATCGGCATGTGCGTGGACACGTTCATGTTCGGTAGCTGTTGCGCACACAATCTGACCGCGGCACAAGTGGCCATGTTACCGGACGCATCCGAACCGGCCGTGCTGTTCACGCAGCCGGGTGGCAACGGTGTGTCGCAACGGCCGCAACACCGGCCGCAGCATCGGCCGTACCGGCCGTCCCAGGTGATGATGCGGCCCAACAACGCGGACGCGGACGGCGCGGCCATCACGCCGTCGGTGGACAAGAAATACCATTACCAGCCGGCGTCGGCCACGCAGCAGACGCCCAACCTGTCGGCGCACGTCAATCGCGTGCCGTCCACCAACTTCATATCCAACAGCCGGCCCAATTTCATGTCCAGGCCTGCTGCACTGCCGTACACCACGACCACCGCCCCGGCCACCACCACCACAATCTTCACCACGGTGGCGACCATCACCACCACTACCACCACCGGTCAACCAGCCAACCAGGAAGTGGACGACAACGACAACAAAGTGGACTCGGTCTGGTCCCACAGGTTCGTACAATCATGGCGACTAGCGTACTCGGTGATAACTAGGGCCCGGATTTTAATACAAAGTGCAAAGTTTTTTTTTTTGGCTGATCATGCACAATGCTCTATAAAAACATAGTTCGGTTCATGTAACAAGGGATTCAAAGTTACAAATTTTATTTTACATTTTTATGCATATTTCAACGTTTTTTCACTTTTAGAGCATCTTTAGTATTATTGGGCTATTTGGTTGGTTTTTAATACATATTTGTTCAATATACTAAACAAACTTAGCCTATTAAAAATAAAATTAAAAGATAAATTATTTTATTGATATTTAAGTAGGTTTACCAGGTTTTTCCGTATACATTTTCAATTTTTATTTTTCGATTCAGTTTTTATCTTATTTTAATTTATTATTGACTGTGGAGCGTCACCGGTATTCGGTCAAATAACAAATAAGCAGTAAGTTTATGTTACATCGCAGACGTTGCTCGTATTATGTGTGTTTGTGATTTTGATGTACTAAATAGTGTGATAAATAATGTCTAACGTAAAAAAATATATGTAATTTTTAGTAATTTTTGTGGTAAAATGCATTTTTTGAGGACATTTTTGGCTATTTTTTAAAGCATATTTGTATGGATTTAGGGGAATTTAAATTGGGGCCTAGTGATAACATATGTATACGTTTTGTTCTTGGATTTCAGTGCGTTTTTTTTTTTTTTTTTTGTTATTTTTCATTGATACTTACTCCTTTAAACTAAGTGATGACTAGTAGAGCTGAACCGACCAGTCCGTGGAAAGGATTATAATTATTTAATCCCGATTTAGATTCAATATCTTTTTTATTCGGATCCCTGATTAAACTGTGACGACGATCAGATTTTTTTTATATTGTTATTATAGGTATTGGATCATTTTTTATACAGGATGTAAGGGTGTTTATGACAGGTTATTTATAATGGTGTGTCCAAAATGAATCTAAAAATCCTAAGACGGATTGTGTTGCATGTCCAACACTAGTAATTAGAAAATTATATTTTTGTCTCTATATTTTAAATTTTTCCCGAATTATTATAGCCTAACATATAGAAGCTACAGTTTAACTACGGAATATTGTACTCTTGTATCAATAAATTCATGATTTATTCGACCGTTTTTCGGTTTATACGTCAAAATTACGTTTTAGATCAGGAATACTATTTAAGTATAGAATATTTTTTGGTTCGTTTTTACAATATTACTTTTAGTTTTTCGGTCAAAAAGCACATTTTTATAATAGTATAGTAAAATCTGAACCCAGAAATAACCAAATACACAATATTCCGCGATCGCGTTCTCGTAGACGTTTGTTCAATATTATTTTCAATTATTTTGCTGCACAGATCGACTTCGGTTGACCCAACTTTGATAGTTAATAAATATACCATTAATGTCTATAATACAGTTGTTTACTTAGTTATCATAATTAGAGCTTTGAACTCAGTGGTTTCTCGTAACATACCTCGAGCTATATATTTACGTAGTTTGTCACATTGCAATTCAAGATTTTGAGTGAATACAAACAGATTGATTCCACAACGTAGCCTTAGATTTACCCGTAACAAACTTATCGATCGTACGACGGAATGGAAAGGTTAGTGCCGTATCGATGTTGCGAAATGCGATGAAAGCGTCGTATTTGTTCGATACTTTATGCATACGGTTAGGTCGGCAAAGGTGTTTTTGTTTTTCCTCTCTGAACTCGATTCAAACGAAAAGTAATATTATTTACCGTCACTACCTCGGAGAGTGTTTACCAGTACTGCAATTTATTCATGGTCGGGTATTCCTTACGTTTTCAATATTTTTCAAACCAATTTTTAAAAAACGTATTTCGTCAACGTTTTGAGACGGTTTTCAATACATTCGAATCGTTATTGTTTCGATTAAATCGAGCTTCTAACACGTAACCTCCCGGCACCCATAATGTACTCTCCTCTCGCGACCGGCCGTACGACCTGATCGTACAACGTTCAGACGTGCATCGTTAAGCCGACTGACGCTTTTGTCGTTCCAGGCCTAGCTGGAGTTCGAGCGCGAGCAGCCATCACGGGTTCATCACTAAGCCGAAGCCACAGCCGCACTTGAGACCGCAGTACACGATGCCGCCGACGACCACTACGTCGGCCACCGGCGACACGAACGCTCCTCACACATCCTCGATCGTGACGACGACCACCGCACCCGTGGCCGTGACGTCGACCACGACGTCGACTACCACAACGACCGCCGCGACACCATCTCTTCTACAGCCAACCACCACCCCCGGGAATCCGTCGGCCACCGGTACAGAGGTCGCGCCCACACCCGTATACGGAAAACCGGAAAAACACACGGCCAAACCAGGCGTGTCGGCCGAGCTCAATCAAAAATCAATGCGTACGTATATACATTTACCATTGTCCCACGAGGATTAAATTAATATTTGCGTTGATCCTTTTAGTGACTTTTAAATAGATTCGAATTTTTTTTCTTCTTATTTTGTTATAACTCACATGGGGATATCCGTTTATTAATTTTTTTTTTTTTTTTAATGAGCGCATACCGATTAAAGTTTACATAAAAAGTATTGGATCTCGTAACGAAACAACAATAAGTGATTGTAGACGAATAACAGTAGAAGAATGTATCAAATTTATAAAGGTAAGTTGTGGCCTCACAGATTTTCCGGTAACCGAGACGAGTCATTCACCGATGCGTCTTAGTCTAACGAAAGTGAAAGTGATGGACGTTCGCATCAATCAAAATATAACAAGAGTGGAGACAACAACATAGGTACAAGTAGAACACGAGTATCGGTACGTGTATAACATCAGTTATATTCTAAAGAAAGGACCAGCAAATGAGTCGGGAACATCAGCAGTTCAGCATTAAATTTAGTTTTCCTGATCATAATTACATTTATTTTGGAATCCATATGAGTTATTTGAAAACAAACAAAACAATTTGATCATCTATGTCAACACTGGCGGAATATCGCAATGATTAGACAATCCTCGAGGGAAACTTTCGTGTTATGTGACTTCAATTTTCAATTTGTTTTTGCATTTATATAGCTTGTGGCCAAGCGCCTTTGCATCCCAGACACGAGGTGCGGATCGTCGGTGGCAGAAACGCCGCTTTCGGCAGTTGGCCTTGGCAGGTACGTTCGATTAGTGTGGTAAACTGTATACTAAGTCGAAATAAGGGTATTTAAAAATATACAGAATAACATTGATCGTTGCCATCAAAGCCATGCAATGTTTAAAAAAAAATGTTATACCTATCGTTACATGATATTTTCTATATCTATTTTCGTTGAACTCGGTATACATTTTGTATCGGCCGGCAGTACAGACAAAATCGTGTACACTGTCCGATTTGACCAGTTCGGTATATTTGGTTTTCTTGCATAATTATTACAATTGCTGTTGTTGTTCGCTGTACAGGTTTCTGTGCGAAGGACGTCGTTCTTCGGGTTTTCAAGCACGCACCGATGCGGAGGAGCTCTGTTGAACGAGAACTGGATAGCGACGGCCGGCCATTGCGTTGACGAGTGAGTAGAAAGCATAAGTAAAATTAAGAAATACGTAAAAAAAAAAAAAAAACGACCACACACGAACGCGTCTTCTAATCTGTGAACAATTTTTCAGTTTGCTGACATCGCAAATACGTATAAGAATTGGCGAGTACGACTTCTCGACCGATCAGGAGCCGTACCCGTTTGTGGAACGCTCCGTCGTCCGGAAAATCGTTCATCCCAAGTACAACTTCTTCACGTACGAGTACGACTTGGCTATGGTACGGCTGGACTCACCGGTTAAGTACACACAACACATAGTGCCCATATGCTTGCCCGGCTCCGACGACCTTCTCATCGGTGAAAACGCCACGGTCACCGGTTGGGGGCGGTTAAGCGAAGGAGGCACCTTACCGTCGGTGCTCCAAGAGGTATGTAGTAATGTCGTTCGATGTTGTTTCAGAAGGACAGAGCTCTAGACGTTTTGAAAAAGTTTAATCTGAAATTCAACAATCACCTTTCATTCCTTTCCGTGACACATTTAATCTAAAAGCTTAATATTGATCTAAACAATTATTCTAGGACGCTTATTGTCCCTTACTTAAGAACGCAAAAATGTTGCTTCACCGGATGTACCTTATTATACAATTCCACGCCACAGTATCTTAAACAATATCGTATCATGACTCCGTGCCGATCAGCTGTTGTCAATATCGTTTTTGAATCCGACACAGTCGGCAGACGATTTGAAAATAATCGTTTCGAAACGTAACCTACGCGCGTTTATCTGCCGTCTACATAAAAGTGCACGATTTCCGTTTATTATCACTTAAATTGTATTTTGTCAGAACTAAATATCTCAGCTAACAATACTAGATGTGCTCAATTATCCGCTCACAAATAACGTGTAACGTGTCATTTCTGAAATCGATATTGTAATCGCAACATACTTCGTTTTCGATAGTTGTTTTTCACGAAACGTACTATTTATCCCGGACGGTTAGTTCGAATTAACCGATGTTCAACGAGCCTAATTTATCAAAATTTCAACGGACCACGATATCAGTACGAAGATTAAAGTTAATTATAACTCGTTGTAATAGGTGACTGTGCCGATCGTTAGCAACGACAAGTGTAAAAGTATGTTTTTGAGAGCTGGCAGACACGAATACATACCAGACATATTCATGTGCGCCGGATACGACGACGGCGGCCGTGACTCGTGTCAAGTAAGCTGAGTTCTGTAAACGGACGTTCATTTCGTTTATAGTTTTCAACTTCCCGTACAAAAATTTTAATAATTCATTTTAATCTCAAAAGGGCGATTCCGGTGGGCCGCTGCAAGTGAAAGGTAGAGACGGACGCTATTTTCTGGCTGGCATCATAAGCTGGGGTATCGGATGTGCCGAAGCTAACCTGCCCGGCGTGTGTACCAGGATATCTAGATTCGTACCTTGGATTCTGCAAACAGTCACTTAGTCACAATATTATTATTACCTATTTTTTTGTTTTCTTTTTTGTCACGAGACAATTGTTTGTATGGACGGACGCCTGATTTGACTCGGTCAAACATGTGATTTAAAAGTTGAAGTACCGAATCGGTAGACACGTGTACGTAAATTTTCAACGTCGAAGAAAATATTATTTTAGATTATTTTTTTTTTTTTATTAACGCATATGTAAATAGTTTATAAATATTTAACCATAATTGATATTAAAAAAGAAACCTTGCGTTGAATCTTTCTTCTATATGCGAATAAAACTATATCTACTGTAAGAAAAGTTTAATAAATTATTGATTTGAAAATCATGCACAATAGTATTTACATTATTATACGACTAAGAGTGTTGTTAAAATTAGACAAAATTTGAATATCGTAAATATCCTATTTTTCGTATACAATATTGATAATGTTAATGTATCATACCGTATTATTGTGTACGCCTGTAACTAAACTATTCGATATTACAATAAGTTTATTTCGAAAAACTCAGATAAATTAACCTTTCAATAGAGTGGTAAAGTACGTTATTTTAATGAACATTGAACAATGTTGGCACCTAAATGTATTGATGTAGGTATAATTATAACACGATATAAATTGGAAATATTAAGTTGTACTTTTTATAAGAACCATAACTGTCATAATTAAAAAATATCAATTATTATAATCTTACAAATAAGTTAATAAGTACAGCAAATTTTAGTTTTACTTAAAATACCAATACAGTATAATACTACAAATAAATACACATTTTTATTTGTGCACAAAATAACAATCTATTACATCATAATGATCGCATTGTATTTTACATATTGTTTACATAACGAAAAAGAAAATTTCGATTACGAGGGATATACTTTATTTAAAAACATAATAGAGAAAATAACAAAATATTCTTCCTATGATTAGATATTTATCCAAACATAATGCATATGGTTACATATATCTGTAAACATATTTACTTTCACAGTGACTCACTTTTTTAAAGCATTGAATAAATTAAAAAAGATAAAATTTTTAGGTCGAGTGAGATACAGGGTGGGGTGAATAATATTTTCGAATGAGTTTTTCAAACTTGAAACCAATGTACCATTGATCTCGATAAAACGATTTTGAATGAAAAAGATAGGATTATATTTCTAAAGATGGTTGATAAAAAAAAACCAAAATTTTTTTATATGAGGTAAGTAGAACTTTTGCAAAAAAAAAAAGTTATGTTGGTAGATAAGTAAATTACATTAAAATTTGATTCTATACCCTTTGTTATCAAACTATAAATGATTAAAATTTGGAAAAATGGAAAATTTCAAGTGGCTTAAAATCTACCAATTTCATTAAACTATTTCGAAGCAATGAAATTTTTAAATGTTAATACGAATACCTACTCAGTAAATGTTTCAACAGTTGGTGATGATCAGAGTAATCCTTTGAAATCGTTTATACATCCGCAAAAAAAATGAAATACGAGTATATCATGTGGAGTAAAATCATTAAATTCCTTTTTTTCACTCAAAATCTAAAACATAAAATATAGAAAAAAAGAACAATGAAATTAATAAATAATTAAAAAAAAATACGAAAAATGATGACTTATATAACACTACCAATAGAAAAATGAATTGTTAAATGTAAAGGACATAAAATACATAAAGATAATATTTTATTATTAAAGCTAAGGATTTGGTCGTAGCCATTTTCTTCCAAAATTGGGACATACTTTTCGGTCCATTTTATTCAAAATAAAAAATCAAATCTTGACCATTTTACTCTAATAAGAAATTATGAATAAAATTAGGTAATGTTTATGCATAATACAAATTAAATGATTAGCAAAAATGTATTTATATGAATAAAAATAGATAAATTAACATAATATAAGGGTAAATATTTTTATATTTAGAGGAAAATTGACAAAATTTTAGACCTAAAAGAATTTTGGAGGAAAATGGAATCCATTCTAATTCAATTTCTAAAGATATCAGTCTACATTTTAAGAAACGTTTAATACAGTATTATAAGTGATTATTAGAAAGTTAGAAAATCGATAAACGAAAAAATCAAACCAGAATTGTATACTGTAACAAATATTGAAGGAAATCCATTTTAAGGTCCAAAATTAAAACATCTCTTATACCAGGGATGAGCAACTCAAAATTACTAGAGGGCCAATTTTTAGAAAATTAAAATCTAACAGGCCAAAGCATAGAAAAAAAAACATTCAAAATATGAATTTTAATTAGCATCTATACATATATACACGGAAATAATAAATTTAACACACACAACAGCACGATACGAATGATATGAAGAAACTGATATAGTTAAATAGTTCCGTACGAACAGCTATGGTTGAAAGCTATACTTATACATACATATGACATTTAAATATTTAACAGTGTTTAATACTTAATAATAATTATTATTTCGATGTCAGAATATCGATGATAAACTTTAAAATTGTATGATGTAATTTTAAAATATAGTACGGGCCAGATAAAAAAAGCTCATGGTCTGGATGTGGCCCGCGGGTCGATAGTTGCCCACCCCTGTGTTATACAAATGTAATTTTATATAAACAATCGGTAGGTAACTTAATATGAAAGAAAACTCGAACAATAAGTTTATGTATACGTAAGTATTATTACGGATCGTTTGATAGTTAAATTTAATGAATTCGAAAGAGAAAAAATAATTGCATCCCTCGAATATGCGCTTGTGTTAAAACTGAAATAAACAGAAATTATTGTAGTCCCATCTACAACGTATGAAATATAAAGCACGGAATTGTATTACGAAATGTCCAATAGTTTATTGATGACAAATCCGTTTCACGATCCAATACATCGGGTTATGCGGAAGTATATTAACAATACCTACGTATATAGGTAAATCGTAGAACGATAATTGAACAAAAAATTATTATTATTCATTAGCAGTTCGACCAGGTTATTTCGCTGATTCACTAAAAGCACGAATATTTCAATGTCGTCCTACGATGGAAACGATAAAATCGCACGACAGTGGTTTTGTCATAACGTTAATCTTTCACGTTTCAGGGTGTACACAAACTATTTTTTATAGTTTGGGACTGCCGTATATTTAATTTATATTGTATTAGTTTATTAAGCTAAAGTAATCAGTGTTGGTTTTTATTTGGTTTAATATTTTTCATTAAGTTATGTATGTTTTCACCAAAAGCGACGCCATATGAAAAATAAAAGGTGTACATCAATCTTACCGATACTCCGTACACGATTCGCCGGCAGCCGTAAACCGTGAAGGATTTACATGGAATTATTCGCTTAAATTTCTCGAAACAAATGAATCACGTGCGCAGTGTGTCCGGTTTCTGTTAAATGGCGATGTAATTGCACAACATTTTCATAGGTTCGTACGAATTTTTTCGCTCGACCGCTCGTGCACACGACGCGGTCACATCTCCGACAAACGACTGCGAAATGCTGTCGTGAGACGTTCTTAATTTATGCGGCGAATTCGTTCTGGCGGTTATGTAACGATGGGTGGTTTCGTGCGGTTTGTCCGACGGGTCTCCAGGATGTGTTTACGCGCGAGAGGAGAAGAAGAAGTAAAAAAGAAGAGAAACAATCGTGAACCGACAAATCCGGTGTGTTGCGGTAGGCCACGCGTTGTAGTCGAGGCATCGGACGTAAATTTACGAATTTTCAGAGCGTACCGTTAATGATAAACAGTGAACCTACGTACGCACACGCTGGTGATGAGCGCTTCTTGAAAGTGAATCGATCTTACGAACAGATCGAATTCGGAACGAATTATTCGTGACGAGAACAGATGATAGTGTCAGCACTGTGAAGAGATCGGAAATCGGATCAACAATTGATAATGACTCGTTGGGCATAATATGTCTTGTCAAAGATATGATTTGTTTTTCACTTTTAAGAGATTGATTCAAATCGCACACACACACACACACACACATTTATGGATAACCATCGAATGAGTGAGCGCGAGTGAAAAGAAATAATAAAAAATTATTACGTTTCAAAGTTCTGTGTAAACAGAGCGGTTTTTTTGTTCGTTTATTCGTTCATTTGTTTTTCCTCCCCCCTAGCGATCGCTAATGAGTTCTGCGAGGTGTGTTCGTGCCGAACCGTCCACACGTGTGTCGTTTCGCAGTGTTGCTATGTGATGTGTTCAGTTAATACGTGTGCGGGAGAAATTAGTTTTATGAAAACATAAGTTGCGCGACTGTAGCACTACGTGTACAAAAAACGTTATTTTTAATATTGAAACGCATTATATTGCGCGTGAATATGGTTGGTTGGTTGGTTGGTTAGTTTTTTTTTTTAATCTGGCCGTTTTTCGAGACGAAAATAATAACAATATTATGTGAACGAGAACCATTGTTATTTTACCTATATATATATATGTATCGAGGGGCCAGGAGCTTAATCAACTTGACCTATTGATATCACGTTTTTAGCTAAAAAAAAAAATTAAAAATTGAAGAAGAGTGAACGTACGGGGTGATTCACCATTATATTTCATTATGACGTTTTGTACAAAAGTTTATGTTAATTTTATTATTATGACACCATCGAGGGCCCGGAAGGCACTTGTCCATTCGCCTTTCTGGCTAGTCCGTCTCTATGTACGTGACGGCATCGAGAACTCGATAAGCAGCGTTGGCGGATCTTGAGAACAGGGGCTAACGAACGAGAAAACTCGATGAACACCGCTGCCAATAACTCGTACCTATGCGAGATCATACATAAAAAAATGAAATCATTAGCTGTTCAACAATGATCGTAACCGTAGCCACTGCACATATCACGTGAACGTCGATTGCGAGAATATGTAAAGCGTTCGTTAAAACACTGATCGGAATAAACCTGCGTTTACGGTGACAAAACATGATATACCGATATAATACGCGAAAGTGATTCTATATATAAAGCGCAACGACGAGTACAAACAAAACTATACCCATTTTTTACCGATTTTTAAAGTAACATAAATACAATTAAATACATTTTTATCTCGGGAAAATGTAGATACTCAAATTCAACGTACACTGTTAGACTTAGAATTTCTTTATACTATTTAACTGATTAAATCGTTATTGTTTTCTCGGTCGAATTGAAGAACAATAACTATAAACAAGCACCTTGCTTGTCTCTGAGATTAATTTTGAAATACTATGTTCGATGCCGCAGTAATTTATGAAATGACTGACCGTAACATACAGATCAAATAAAAAGACTTAAGTTTGTTTATTTATTCTTCCAAAACCAGTTCTGCAATTTGCTTATTCCCTTTTAAATTTTAGGTGAGGTTAATTTAAATATTATAAAATATGTTTGTATGCATTTTTATGAAAATCCGACATACATTCGATAGTAATAATTTGCATAATACTAAAAATTGAATATGTATATAATAAAAACTCTTGTTTGAATAACAAAAATTAAATTTGCATTAATGTATCTGTATTTAATAAGGTAAAATGCAATCTGATGTCCATAAATAACATAAGTTATAAAATTATCGAAAACGAGTTTCAAACATGATTTAATTAATTATATACTTAATTAAATCTCGAATCAACGGTTTTAAATACGATTATAACAGCTGGAATCGTGGAAAAGTCGATGGGAAAAAGTCGCAGGTTGCATAAAAAGTAAACAAAAAAAGTATAGTGTTCAGTATATTACTTAATATTGAAAGGCATTAAAAATTTGTCATTTACCTATTTGACGAGTCGCAATTAAACGAACTTGCACGAAGAAATGTACACGACTCCATTTAGACTATCTAGACTCAATAGTAATTACGATTTAAATTATATTTATTATGATGCAGAAAGTAAATGCGAATTACTCGGTCATGGTAATAAAATTGTAAATTAAGGTGTTTTACTTAATTTTAATTATATTAATTTCCATTTGATACAAGTCTCACTGATGCAATATTATTACATTTTAGTCGTTTCTTAGTATTCATTTTTTTGTAAACTCGAAATCGTGATTAATTTTTATGCGAGAAATGTATTTAGATTCATAGATGATGTTAATGCATTATTGCAATAATCGGATACTCGGGTACAGTTTAACTGACATCGATTTAGATACAAATCACTTGAGAACTGGATATTAGTATGAAAATGTTCAAGCCATTGATTCCGCCACGTTATAGCCGTGAAATACCGTTTAAAGGCCATACGATGGTGCACTATCATCGATAATGACTGGTTTCAATTTTATACGTATACCTACATCCCGCGCGCGTTTCCATAATTTATGATGTTTTCCGGTACCGGTATATTCGTCCACAAGCGCATAACAGTTGTACTCGATAAGTTTTTTACCACAAAACCATCCATAAATACCATATACATTCCGACAGCTCACGTCCGGGTATATTATTATTACTAATAACTCGTTTATTTCGAAGGCATTATAATTAGGCGGTTGTTTAACACTTTTGTGTTATTTTAAAAGGTACTCGTCGATTGGAATAATATATTACGGTGTGTTATGGTAACGGATTTAGAGCGTTTTGCTTAGGCAATTCAGATGACTTGTTTAGAATACCGTGAAATTAAACGATGATGTCATACGATATCATACTACGAGTTGTACCATTAGTCTCTCCAAAATCTATTTAAAGACGTTTATCGGTCCCATCAGTTTCGAACCGTAATGGTCGTTCGGTACGATTGTTTTTCCGTTGTAAATAATCGCCTCAACCTTGTATCCATATTTGTTTTCTTTACGTTCTTTATATCTCTCGTAAATTAAATTAATGTTTAAAAATCCTATGTACGTTTTAAATAAAATAAATTTGGTAATGTAAAATTAATTCTAATATTTCTATAAATTAAATAAATCATTAAATAATAATAAATAAATAATTAATCAATTACATAAATAATCACATTTATTATTTGTTATAAAATCAAAAATGACAGGAACAATGCTGTTGTTTAACGGTTGTTTTCATTTATTTTTTATAATATTTGTTTCACAAATAACTTAACTCGTGTTGGTCATATTTGAATGACAATATATTATATTTTAATATGTATACTAAATTATAATACGCGTTACATGTAAATACACTGTGTACCATATTGCACCTGTACGGTAGTACCTCATAATAATTAGATAAGTATTATAGTATTAAATTAATATTATTTTATTATTACACAAGTAATATTTATTTTTATTTTTATATTACTATTATTAATATTCGTCTAGACATTGACTACCTCCTATAACGTATCCAAGGTGATTAGAAAATTTAATTATATCTCTCTTAGTAACACTATAAAAATATGACTTCTGTAAAAGAGTAAAATATACAATATTAATAATCGTATAGTCTTTCTTTTTAGATAATATTATATTTTTATGGTTCTAGATATAAATGTAACTAAGTTGCACGAGTGCTTATTTTTAATGCGATTTTTAAAATCAAATTAAAAAATTAAATGTTCGTAATTAAATCCACTACACTAATAAAAGTATTACGTTATAAATGACTGAATTTTTATAAAGCGAATACTCTAACTGCTATTTGTAAAAAAAAATTCATATGCATTTAAAAATAGATACAGAAAATACATGTAGCGTTTTATTATGTGATCACAAATTTCTATAACTATTGTAATACTTATGAGTTTACATTTTTGGTAAATTAAATTTCGTTTTTCTTGTTATGTGAGGCATACTCGTAAACCTTTAAGCCACCAATGAACCGAGTAAATCAAATATTTCTATACACAATCAAAATTCTATATAGCAATTCAAGTTTCGATATAATCACAAATAATCTTGACATTAATTTAAATCTAAAAAATAAATGTACAATGTTTCTTGTTTAGTTATCCTACACTAACCCCATTAAAGTGATGAAACAGTTTACAAGAATATTACATTTTTATTACTTTCAATAATAATAGTAAAATATATAAAGGTCAAATTTATTGCAACGATATATTTCACTCAACATATAAAATGTCGAATTCTCAATATTTGTGAATAGGTGATGCTCATTTTAACTAGTTACAGTAAACGTATACTTTGGAATAACCCAAATAAAAAAAAACCATATTACTTAATTAAATATGTTCAATAATAATATGCACAAAGGAATATGATAAAATATCGAATACGAATACACATTAAATAATGATATTTCAAATTAAAATAATATCTATTGCTCTATTTGAAGTTATCGCCGAATTACGTTGAATTTATAAGTTTCCATCAACATAAAAATTTTATTAGGTCTTCTAGAAGTAAAACCAATTACAGTAACTATATTAAAATTGTGACAAATAAAGTTTGTTGAATTTTCAATTTACACCATAATGTTCTAATGTTTTAAAGTTATTTAAAAAAAAAATATATAATTGTCATATCAAAACATTATATTGATTTATAATATGTACTTGTTTTTAACAATAAATTCACTTAATGGAAAACGGTTTTACATTTAAATTTTATTTAAGTAAAAATTATAAGCTATTACAATAACAATAAACGGTAAAACTGGATTATTGAGTATGCAATTTCTTTTACACAAATGTAAGAAAAGTACGCCGTAAAGTTACATTTGTATAATACACATATTTTATTTATTTATTTTATTTTTGCTTAAATCTTTTATATTAAGATGTTCTAGGAATTTATAATATTTTATACTACGTTTATTATTTTGGAATTCATTTTATGATTAGTTTTTTTCATTTAAAAAATCATCTACGTTTCATACCCACCAAGAGGTATTACAAAAAAATCCAGACACCGATGCCCTGTTGCACCAAACTCTTCGTTTTCTATCGGTAATTATTTTATCCATTGTTAAATTTTTATCTAACGATAAACTAACGTTTGTTAAATTAACACGTTTTAAATTTTGGAGTGTTTCCCAATAATTGTTTTATATTCAAGTTATTACCAATAAACTGGTTATCAAATAAATGGTATGGAGGTACAAGCTATATAATAATATATTTATCAACATTAGATAATGGCCACAAACATTGATAATGAAATTTAACCATACATACAATTTTCACGGCGATTAATCAGCCTCTAATTTAACTGTTGATAAAGTATATTTGAACCACAGATAAGACACAACAGTGAAGAAAATTGAATAGTAGTAAAGAATTAATATGATATATTATTAAAAGTAATACGTAATAAGAAATAATAAGTGAATATTATATAATATCATACCTCCGTTTTATTTCACCAGACGCATATTTTATATTTTGGTTATATTTGTAGTTGTTAAATAAAACCAATAAATTGCCTCATTGACCAGTAATTAATTTTATATTATTACTTTATTGCGACATATTTCGTTAAATATAAAATATACACGAAGACACGCAGAATACGAATGATTATGTTCGTCAAAGTATACTTTACGTATACCTAACCTACTGCCGATATCATCATTGGAAAAACTTATTTCAGATAATATTAAGGTAAAATTATTAATAAATGAATCAATGTAGATATATATCCACCTTGAAATGAATCGAACAAAAAAACTGGAGGAGTTTACATATACCAATTACAGCAGCGATCCTCACTACGCGGCCCACGGGCCGCATGCGGTCCTCGAAACGTTTTTTTGCGGCTCTCAGACTGACTGTTAAGGATAGTTATACCTACATAAATTTTAGAGTTATTAAAACAAATATTTTTTTGTAAAAATATTCAATATTTTATAAATAGGTACCAGTATATATTTTATATTTATACAACAATTTATGTACGGGCGGCAATTATCAAATGATTGTTAATAATAGATTAATAATAGACTTATCGGTAATTTCCAGAAGGCCTCGAACAACAAATGAAATATGTGACCTCGACGATTGCTCGGTCGTCAGTTTTATCTTTACTGTTTGTCATCAGTGGGGAGTTTTATCTATCTCAGTGCAAACATGTATAAGTTGAGCCAGTATTAATGTGATTTTAGTGCGGCCAACTTTATCATTGAACAAATTATTTTACGAACATAATACTTAGTTCATAAGTTTTAATTTTGTAATTAAATATGGCGGGAGTGTACTCAAAAGAGCGGAAACGAAAACTTGAGGATGAAAACCGTGCATTTCAAGCTGAGTGGGAGGGAGATTTTTTTTTTTACAAAAGGTAAGAAAGAAGGAACTGCCCTATGTTTGATATCTCGTGAAATGCTACATAGAAACAAACGTTATAATTTGAACAGACACTACATTTCAATTCATTCGCAGTTTGAAGAAAAATTCCCGAAAAAATCTAAAATCCGAGAGGAAAAATTGCAACCATTGAAAAATTCCTTTGCTTGTGAACGTAGTACCCTTTTAAATGCAATGAACAAGAATGAGCTTACTACAAAAGCATCCTACCAAGTAACAGAAATTTTAGCACAAAAGATGAAGCCGTTTTCTGATGCAGAAATTGTAAAAGAGTGTGTTGTCACCGTTTGTAAAACTTTGTTTTCACACTTACCTAATAGTAAGCAAATATTAGATGAAGTTTCTAAACTTCAGCTGTCTGACTCAATTTGCATGAGACGGTCACAAGACTTAGCAGCAAATATTGCACTTAACATTACCGATGAACTTCAGCAAAGCGAATGTTTTAGTCTTGCACTCAACTCATCCACTGACATAACGTCAATTTCCTAATTACTATTGTTCGTTAAATATGTATGCAAGGATTGTGTTGTTAAAGAACATTTTTTGGGCATGATTCCCATAACTGGACAAACTCGAGGTGTTGATTATTTGAACACAATAGTAAGTTTTTTTAACGAGCGTAGCATTGATTTGAAAAAGGTTTTTTCTATGTGTACTGATGGTTGCCCATCAATGTTAGGCCGGAATATAGGGTTCGTTCAGTTGTTGAAAAAACATTTGGAAAACGATAATTTACTAAGCTTTCATTGTATTATTCATCAAGAAAGCTTAGCTATTAAATTTGGTGAAAATTTCAACTAAGTTATGAAACAAATTGTAAAGATCGTGAATTTTATAAGTTCAAATGAACTGAACCGCAGAACGTTCCAAGAGTTTTTGAAAGAACTTATATCACAATACGGGGACGTGCTTTACCATATAGAAGTAAGATGGCTGAGTAAGGGTAAAGTTTTGGAACGTTTCTTCAATATTCGTCATGAGATTACTCTGTTTTTAGCTACAAAGGAAAAAGAGTATCCTGATGTTTATGATTTTAGTTGGTGGTTCAAAGTAGCGCTTCTCACTGATATAATGGGCATTATGAATAAAACACTGACTCGATTGCAAGGACACTACAATAAAATTGTAACGAAAATGATTAGTATTGTGTTTTCACAGGAACAAAAACTCAATATATATATCGAAGAATTGTCAAACAGTGATTATTCTAGCTTTCCTTCTGTTAAGACTTTGTTTGATGAAAATCCAGATGAAAGTCAAGATGTTACTGATTTAATAAAGCTGTTAACAGATCTAAAGAACGAAATGTCTTTGAGGTTTAGTGACTTCAGGAAGTATCAAGAACCATTTCGCTTGGTGGAAAATCCATGGTTAATTACAACAGCAAATATAGCTCATCTTTCTGATCATTCTTTGGATACAAAGCTAGGGATTTGAAAAATGAGTTAATTGATCTTCAGCATGATACGGAGCTCAAAAGTGTTTTTGAAGAAAAAAAGAATAATAAAGCTCACTGCGAGTTCTGGAAAACAGTTGATAAGGACAAATTTCCTAACTTAATTGACTGTGCTCAGAAGATTTTGTGTGTTTTTGCATCTACGTATGTCTGTTAATCTACATTCAGTAAGCTGAAGTTCATAAAAAACAAGTACAGATCCAGGTTAATAAGTGAGAACGTTGACAACATTTTGAGAATTTCAGTTTTTTCTCAACCTGCCAACATAGATGCCATATTAGAGAGTTGTGAAAGATTTCGCCATTCGACTTCAACAAGTAAATAAATTCAAGTAGCCCAAGTCATAAAATTAAGTAAAAGACGTTTCCCTACTTTTTTATATGCAAAATGTTTATTTTTTTGATATAATAAACTTATGTTATAATTATATTGTTTGTAAGTTATTTAACACCACTTCATAGTGTATTATAACAATAAGAGAAATAAATTTTGTAATTAACCTATACCGTTTAAGTTTAGGCCCTGACTAAACTGTACAATTTGTGCCTGCGGCCCTAAGGGAAATTTGATATGAACTATTTGGCTCTCTCAGAAATCCTAGTGAGGACCCCTGCATTACAGGTAAGAAAAAAAAACTGGCGAAGTTTTCACTAGACCTTTTATTATATTTTTATCTTACCTGATATTCTAGCGGAGCTTACAATCGCCCATACGGTACATACATTCAGGATTTAGCTGGTTTGGGATAACTAAACACCATAATATTTAAAAATCAAAATCAAGGGGGCCAGTTCAGGGCCACTGATTTTTCTTAGGGGGAAGGCAGCCCCCTTATGAACTCACCCTTAACGTCTTGTCTGTTAATACATAATACAAACATAATAATTAATAAAGTTTAACATACTTTTTCTCAAATAGTATATTGCACAGTCTTGATGTTTCCGTGGGTACGTTCGAAGGAGAGTTATCAGAACGACGTCCATGTCACCAGCCCCTACCACGAAAACTTTAAAAAAATTTTATTCAAATATTTTGTACGTAATTTGTATGAATTTATACGACAGTTTTCAGAATTTGTACGACGTTGTTATTTGACTTATGTCAAAAATACTGAAGAGGGGCCAGAGACATATGTCTCCGGCCCCCCTCACATAAATAAATTAGTATTATTTTTTTGAATTTAGTATAACTCAAGAACACAATTTATATGAATTTGTACGACCATTTCCGGAATTTTTACTTCACTCCCTCTCCTGAAATATGCGAAAAACACTGTTTTCCGTGTCCCCCCCCCCAAATTTGAAATCTAAACTTTTTCTTCCGCAAACCTTTTACTCATAATTTGTATGAATTTGTAAAACCATTTTTAGAATTTGTACGCCACCCCTTCTCCTGTAATATGTGAAAAAGCTTTTTTCCCGTGTCCCCCATCCTCCTAAATTTGAAATCTAATCTTTTTCTTCCACAAACATTTTACACATAATTTGTATGAATTTCATAATACAAGGAACTTAAATAAAATTAATTTCAAATATTCTTTCGTTATCGGTTTCATTACTTTTGTTATTATTAATTTAAAAGAATTTTACACAATATTTATGAAAAAAAAAAATTATCCTTGGTTCATACAATATATAGCTTAAATATTATTACAATTAAATGTTCTAATAATGTACCTTAACATTTTCTGTTTTTTATACTAAGATTAAATAAGCCAATGTTTAATCATAAAATTTAATTGGAAAATATACAAAATTATATCACAGAATATTCTGTGTTTTTATTCTATTTTTTGGTGCATTATTTAGACTAATATTAGGCATTGTGACTTGTAATGTTTTACTCTTCAACAAACTGTTCTGACGTTTATTGAATTTCTTATTTCCTGCGTTTTCGTTTTTGAAATCTAAATTAACTATGTTTTTATATTTATTCTCAAATTTTGTTTGGTAAAAATATTATCGCTAAATTCTAAGGTGAAAGGACGAAAGCCAGCAGTTTATCCTGATTTAGTTATAGATGCTGTTCTTCATTTTAAAGACAGAATAATTACTGAAGATAATGGCGAAAAAAGTAAGTGAATAGTTTACTTTGACTTTTAATAATTATGTATATTTTTAATTTGAATTAATTATCTATTTAGAATTTTAGTATTGTGAGTCAAATTTACTCATAACAAACTACTCTGTTTAACACCATTTTATTATTAATCACAAAGCTGATCGTTTCGTTCATGATTTGATTTATTTGTTTTATATAAATATTAATATGAAATAATTGCCTTACATATAGTAGTATATTTTAAAAATTGACAGAAAAACGTTAAATATATAATAAAATAAATAGTTATATTTAATTAAAAGATATAATAATATATATAATTGATTAAAAGTGTTTTCAATTGACAGACCCAGGTATTCTTACATTATTTTATGAATATCCTTAAATTTATATTTACACAAAGTAGTTTATAGAATTTGGAGATACATAATAAATTAATTTTTGAATATATGTTTTTTACTCAATTACATAATTATTAATTATTGAAGATTTCCGTCTTAAAACCTTTGCAGTGATATTGCAGAGGGGTTTTAAATTATCATAAAGGAAAAAGCCAGCCCAGAAATTCAATTGGTCATTATTCTGCCTATTGTAAAAGAGAAGAACGTAATTGGGAACTGTATGATGACCTAAAAAAAACCAAAAGATATTAAAGAAAATATGGTGGTTTCATGTGAAGTGTTGTTGTACACTATATAAGTCTTTGTTTTATTTATGATTTTAATATAATTACTTTTAAATGATTATACTTAAAGTGTATATTTTATCATTAAAAGTTAGCTCTTTTTATTCTGAAAATAAAAAAGGTTAAAGTACATTATTAGAACATTTAATTGTAATAATATAAAAGCTATATATTGCATGTACCAAGGATAACTTTTTTTTTTTTTTTCATAAATATTATGTAAAATTCTTTTAAATTAATAATAACAAAATTAATAAAACCGATAACGAAAAAATATTTGAAATTAATTTTATTTAAGTTCCCTGTATTATAAAATGTATACAAATTATGTGTAAAAGGTTTGTGGAATAAAAAGTTTAAGTTTAAAAGTTAGGGGAACGGAGAACACAGGAAAAAGGGTTTTTCGTATATAACAGAAGAGGAGATGGCGTACAAAATCTAGAAACGGTCATACAAATGCATGTATATCATATATTAAATATTGATGTAGAACATTTTTGGAAAAATTATTTTTCCAAGTCGGCGAGGCTGGAGAAACGTTTCCCCCGCACCGCACATAGAAAATTGAGTTTTTCGGGTAAATAGATGCCGTACAAATTCCGGAAACGGTCGTACAAATTCATACAAATTATATGTAAAAGATTTGTGGAAGAAAAAGTTTAGATTTCAAATTTAGGGGGCGGGGGACACGGGAAAAAGGGTTTTTCTCATATTACAGGAGAAGGGGTGGCGTACAAATTCTAAAAACGGTCGTACAAATTCATAAAAATTATGTGTAAAAGGTTTGCGGAAGAAAAAGTTTAGATTTCAAATTTGGGGAGGGGGACATGGGAAACAGGGTTTTTCGCATATTTCAGGAGAGGGGGTGAAGTAAAAATTCCGGAAATGGTTGTACAAATTCATACAAATTAAGTTCTTGAGTTTTACTAAATTCAAAAAAATAATACTAATTTATTTATGTTAGGGGGCCGGAGACATATGTCTCTGGCCCCTCTTCAGTATTTTTGATATAAGTCAAATAACAACGTCTTACAAATTTTGAAAACTGTCGTATAAATTCATACAAATTACGTATAAAATATTTGAATAAAATTTTTTTAAAGTTTTCGTGGGGCCCCCCCCCCCCCCCGGCCGGTGACATGGACGTTATCAGAACGTAGATATAAAATGAGAAAATGAAAATGATAACGAAAATTAACAAGATAGTAAAATAAGATATGTTAGGACTCGATTCAATTTTATAAGGAATTGAAATAAAAATTGAATAATTTAAATGTATATTAAGTAAATATTAACATTAAACCATTATTAAGTAATTAAGATGGATGGTATAAAATCAATTCTCATCATGGCAACTATGTATAGTATAGGTATATATTTCTATAGATACTTATATTTCATATTCCATAAAACATAATAACAATCGGTGTTTTATTACGTGCTTTAAATATTATAGTATTTTGTTTACGTTTAATTATTTGACAAACATAAGCATCATATTATATTGGTAAATAAGGTTTTATGGATAAACAGATAAATGATAATCAAGAATATTCAACAGTTTTGTTATAGTATTTATCAAGTTTCAATAATTTGATTGTGCTGCGGCAGCCGTATTTGAACAGTAAAACGTGCAAGGAATACTGTTTATTCGACGTGTTCGCGTTGGCACACTGGTCAGACAGGCTGATTCATTGATTACACTTCATCGCTGGTTCACTTTCTTGGTTTTCAATCTATCATTCAACCGCACGACTGAACGCTTCTCGAGATGGCCATCGGTGATTATCCCGCTAAATACAACCCTAAAGTGCACGGGCCCTACGATCCGGCCCGTTTCTACGGAACGCCGGATACGCCATTCTCGCAAGTGAAACTCGGCGAGGTAACTACTATTTTAACATTATTGCGTTATACGTGAAAAACGTGAATGCCTACAACGCGTTCCCCTTCTTACTATTATACGCATTGTCCTTGCCATTCCGGAGAGCCGTACCGAGGCTTTTTCATCCTGAAGCACTGCGCCTCTTAGGTTGTATGGTTGTCACACTCACAGCTTTTAAAATGTATAATACGATTAGGAAAAATCTGAAAATTTTTATTAGGTTTCTAGCAAAACAAGAAATAACATTTCTTAAAATAAGTGAATTACCTATTTAATATTTGCTCTTTGGTATTGTTAAACTGTGTGTAGTTTTGAAGATAAAAATGGATTTATAGATTTAATTTGCACTATAAAAATCCATCTGTATGTGTCCTTCACTTAGAAAATATTTTTTCAGTTCTCATTATATTTGTATTTGTTTAAATTGTACAATATTTTACCGAGTATATAATAAACAATAACAAATCTTGAAAGAGTTTAATTTTTTGATAAAAGTATAGATAAATTTAACTTTGCTACTATTACTAAGCCTATTAATTTCCTTAATATTTTTATTAATTCCTTTGATACCATTATTATCATTAATTAACATGAAATTTGTAGACATTTATTTACACATAATCATTAACAGTTGTATGTAAATAAACCTTAAAACTTTTTATAGAAGTGTTGGTGTTTATTTCATTTTCATACTCAGTTAATTTACTTTTCACTACTATGAAACAAAAATAAATAAAATAATAATCGAGTAACCATTTTGATGTTTGCATAATTATAATTTACTTAGCACTTGAAAACTATAATATTTTATTTTATTCAATGCTTTCGCTGGTTTTAGATGACTCAATGGATTGGACGTCGTAATAAGTCACCATCAGCATTTGCTGGATTATTTTCTCGTGCTTACTGGCGATGGTCCCACACATATGTCCAACCAAAACGTGCTACGGTTGCTCCACTAATCCACATTATTACTGGATCGATGTTGTTTTTCTACACTATTAACTATGGAAAAATAATCCGTGGGCGTAATTACAAACATCACTAATAGTCGACTAATAATCGAACTACTGTGTTTATATAATAAGTTAAAATAATTTCACAACCGCATGTGTTATAAAAATATTAAAAATATTTGTATACGCACAAAAACCAATAATATACTTTTTCAAAAGAAACTAGTAAAATATGCAAAAAAAACCACAAATATAAACTCACTACGTGATAGAACTCATTATTTTGTTCACCTAGCTATAAATAGTATAAATAGAAGAAATAGAAAATAGTATGTAATTTCTATAACTTCTGGTCCTTAGTCTTAACCAAAGCTCAAATCTAGTAGTATTTCAATTATTTTTTTTTTTAGAGAAATTCTAGAAATACCTATATGAGCTATAAATTTATTTCAGATAACTCAGAAGCTATATACGAAATTTTATGTTGCAAACTCTTATTATTAATATACCGATCGCTTTACTATACAATAAAAATAAATATATAAGTTAAATCATCTATCCAGCGGAAATAGTGGATATTGTAAAAAAACTGGCAAACAACAAATCCCCAGGTCATGACCTCATCTCTAACAAAGTCGTCAAAAATCTACCTTTGAAATCGATCGTTTATTTTACTCATATATATAATGCAGCTCTTCGGTTATCTTATTTCCCAACCACCTGGAAAACATCTGTTATTATTACAGTACTTAAACCTGGAAAGCTTTCAGAAATCCTCTCCTCGTACAGGGCTATCAGCTAATTACCAGTCCTGGGTAAATTTCTTGAACAAATCATTCTCAAACGAATCACCACCATAGCCAAATCAAAAAATACCATTCCAAACTTCCAGTTTGGTTTTTGTGCTCATCACGCCACAACTTATCAACTTCACAGGGTTGTGGATACTATCTCCGCAGTACTCGAAACCAAAAAATATAACGCTAGTGTCTTTTTAGACGTCGCGAAAGCGTTTTATACCATGTGGCATGATGGTCTCCTCTTCAGACTAAAAAATATTTTTCCAGCCCATTTATACCTAATACTTAAATCCTATCTTGCCAACCACTCTTCTAATGTCCGCTATAACTTACATCATTCAAAACAATATCCTATATTTGCTGGTGTCCTTCGAGACAGTAATATTGCTTCCTTCTTATACACCATATATATGTCGGACCTGCCCACAACTGAAAATACTTCAGTTGGAACATACTTTGATGATACTGCCCCATTATCAGTTTTTTATGATCTGATCATACCAACGCATCTCAACAACAACAAACTCACTTAAATATTCTCTCACAGTGGTTCATCAACTGGAAAATAAAAATTAATGAATCCAAGTTCTCTTTTGTAACATTCTCACTCAGACCTTTAAACTGCCCAACTGTAACAATTAACAACATCACCATTCCTCATTTGACTGAAGTAAAATATCTTGGTCTTACATTCGACAGATACCTTACCTAGTCTCTCCATCTTAAAGATAAGCGTAAGAAACTTAACTCCAGACTTCACCTGCTAAGGCTACTGTTCTAAGGCTAACTTTGTTCGAACCTTACCCTGCCTATAAAAATTATTCTGTATAAAATTATTTTTCAACCAATATGGACATACGGTATAATAATTTGTGGTTCAGCTAAGAACTCGAACAAGAAAACTATACAAACTTTTTAAAACATCATTCTTCGCTTAATCTTTGGTGCACCCTGATTTGTTTCGAACGAGACCCTAAACTCCGACCTCGAATCACCTTCCATCGACGATACAGCTGGTATCTACTACAAACGCTTCCACACCAAACTTTTAGATAATCCTAACCAACTAGTCAATGAGTTAGCTTCATTAACACTTTCAGGTAATCCAACCAGACGCCTCAAGAGGAAATGGTGCCGTGATTTGATAACTTAAGTAAAAACTTATAAATGTAACAGGTGCCACAAATTTGTGATTCCCTCCTCATGTGCTTATTCCTGTTAATTATCTGTAAACTTATTATTATTACTTATTGTACTATGTATAGATCATAATTCTTCAAATAAAGTCAATTTTTTTAAAAAAAAAAAATAAAATAATTTAATCCAAAATAAGAAGAATTAATTAATTAACATGAGTAAATAATAAATGGTTTGAGTTATATATTTATTTTTATTGTATAGTGATGTGATCGGTATAATAAGAGTTTGTCATTTTTTTTTATATATTTTTTTTGTTTTTTAGTGCATATTTAAGCAATTATATGAATATTAATAATAATATATACATAAAATATACTCGATCTAATTATAAGAGCATATTTTGAGGAATTTTTTGTGTTTATAAACTTGTTCCCAAGTTATGATAAAATCTATAATCCGAGTTTGATAAATCAAACGAAATATGCAATTTACGTTCATTGAATCATAGTAAAAACTTTTTCAAAGTTAATTATTGTAGTAATCAGAGTAATTTTTGCTGATGGTCCACCTGCAGCTGTCTGAAATTTACGATATAGATTTGGACAACGGTTTACCATTTTCCAACCGTTGGCCTAAGCCATAATCAAGTCAGATTATTAAATTAAAATAACCATAGAATTTATACCTACGTAATATTAGTGTTTAAATCTTACCGTTAATACAGTACTATATAAAATATGGACTAAGGTTAGTTTTCAATTAGAATTACAATGACTACGTTGTATGAGCAATAATTACAACAAAACTTATTACTTATCGTTAATTAGTAATTTAATCGTTCACTGTTAAATAAGGAGGATAAAAAAAATCAAGCAACGTGATCAAATTAATAATTTAAAAATTATTATGATATGAAAATATTGTTTTGCCGTAGACAAATCATTCTTCGTTGAATCTAAAATACTCACTATGGTCTACTCTTATAATACGAGTAAGCTATTAACGTTGGATGATTAATGTTGAATCGAATTTCGGTGCCGGGTCAAAATTCAGATTTATCAAATAAACGTTAATATTTTGTCGTTTGCCCGGCAGTCAGGATGAAAGTTGACCAGGATAGATTTTACCGCCGTATATGGCCGAAAGAGAAACTAACGTCCAATGATGAACGGTCATTTATTCGTAGAATTTGACGATATCATCCTTAAGCGAAAATGTACATTTTGTTCTTGTTGATTTTCGCCAATGAATAGAATTAGGAATTAAAAAATAAAATGTAAAAAAGGCTTTAAAACACCCAACACCCAAAATAATAAACAATGGAAATAAGCGTGTCGTTATTGATATGGTACAGCAAATAAAATTTATTTATAACATATAGGATATTTATAGAATCGAATAGCTGCAAATTGGATACCGTCACGTCAAAAAATAAATATGTGTAGGGATTGATAACGGACACATTTCTAGACATATATAAAGGTAAATATTAACACTTAAATATTAACAACTGCCTTCGAGTATGGACTAAAAGTCTCATGTATGGAGTATGGACTCAAGTCAAACAGTAGTATACTTCCAAGGGCAATTTTCATGTGAAAAAAAAATCACTAGCAAATCAACACACACGGTGAACATACACTGACATTATGTGAATTTTGTATGTTCAATTTATTACGCCTTGTACTTTTGCTCGGGAATACGTAAGGTGTTGTACAAAGAGCATGAACATATAGATTTTCTAATGTAATTATTTAAATAAACTTGAAAAGAAAAAACCGATAAAAATCAAACGTATATACATGTTTAGAGACATTTCATTCAATAACACACTTGCTAGTTTAAAATTCGACGCGATTTTTATCGAAATAGATGCAGAACGAAGTTATAAAAAAATCTTGCTTGTTCGAAATCAATGCATCTTAAGTGTAAAATATTATAATAATGTAACATGTGCATACCAAAATACAATTTATTTATAATATATATATATATATTGCTGTTACACTCTTCCGTATTCCGAAAGTCTATACATTTCGTTGTTGTTCCGTAAATCATAATCTACCGCGGTTAGAAAGTCGAACGTCCAATTGTAATATATTTAATGAGCGTTAAATTTCCATTAGAAGTACGTTGGCTGCGGACGTGTGTCCGTGTCGCATTTATATTTATAGTATATATTGCAAGTATTTTTTTAATTTTTTTTTTTTAAATCACACACAATGAGAGCGCAGATTATTCATGCGCACGACACACACTATGCCCGAGACTTAAATAATAAATTACACACCATTAATAACGATGACAATTGCACGATAAATAATAATTATAATTAGTAAGTAATTATTGTGTTTATATGCGGTATTGCTTTTGGACCGCATAATATTAAACTCAACTTCAATTATGTTATTTTTCCGCCGGGGATTAAATACTATCAGTGGTGTGGCGCAAACTACGTTATATTCATATTATTATTAGTACACCACTGTCAGATGTATTGCGCAAGATGTATACATTTGTGTGCAGACAACGATGTCGACCCTGTGATGGTTGATAGCTGTGCGCGACGTACATGGGTGATGGCGTTTATGACAAATTAACGAATTTTAATTGAAATTCTTATAAATGAGCCACACGGATCGTTGCGATGTGAACTGCTGCTGAGATGTCGAGTACGTGAAATTCAAGCGATTTTGAAACGTTTAAATCTTTGAAGAATATGTTCTCTCGTGTACCGCGTCAAATAATTGACGCATTATTTCACAAATAATATTGGACGTATTAAAACATAGTAACCGTAAACAGGGTTATCGGTCTAATCGAAAAATCAGTAACTACAGAGAGCACAAATCTTGTGTTTTATACTCTTTGTTTTCATTATGTTCTATTTTATTGCACACATTCAAAAGTAATGATAAATCTAATGTACAACGGATGATTGTTCACGTTTGTGTCATAATAATGTATTAAATATTTAATTTGCCATGGTTTCAAATAAAAACAAATGCTAAAATTGCTAATAAAGGAACTTTATACGTGGTAATACAAGTTTTATTACAACATATACAAAACTAGGTACTTATTTCGTTGTTATCTTCTATTTTGAACACCTTTTATACATAGATTAAAATTAATTTGTAAAAACGGCATGTGTAAAACATTTTTTTTTCAAAACTTGTAATAACTATAATTCGGAAATATTCATCTCGTACGATTACCTCGGATACCTTGATGAATAGTTTTTACGGTT